CCAGTGGTAGCAAGTGTCTGTGGACTCAGGGCCGTCCTAAAGCAGGAAGTGGTCAAGCCCACCGAGACCTAAGCGCGCGCAAGGGGAAGAGGGGGCCCAGGATGGGCTGGCGTGGCACCAGATATGACGGTTCCTTCTGCGGAACCGTTGAGGAATGTCCTCAGAGAGGGCATGTGGGAGCCGTGCTGTCCCCTCCGTGTGTCCTCTCCAACGCGTTTCTACATTCATTGTTTTTGCATTCAACAAAGACTCAGTGCGAGCCTGCGGTGAGCCTCGTACCATCAGTGGTTTCTACCAGATTGATCTGTCATTTTCAATAAATGCTTAGCCATCTCCACAAATCCCGATTTAAAGACCTGGCTACACAGTCCGTCCTATAGATATGCGAATGGTGACTACAAGTCAAAGTGACGGCCTTTCCAAGGAAAAAAGAACCGTGACCTCCTGGTAGGGTTTTGTTTCTTTCTTTTTCCTTTTTCCTCCCTAACCCCCCCTCATCCTTTAAAAAAAATTTTTTTAACGTTTATTCATTTTTTGGGAGACAGAGAGAGACACGACACGCGTGGGAAAGGGGCAGAGAGAGGGAGACACAGAATCCCAAGCAGGCTCCAGGCTCTGAGCTGTCAGCACAGAGCCCAACACGGGGCTCGAACTCACAAACTGCGAGATCATGACCTGAGCCGAAGTCGGACGCTCAACCAACTGTGCCACCCAGGCGCCCCTCATCCTTTTTTAATTTTTTTTCTTTTTTAGTGTTCCTCGTGCTCTTAATACATCTGCTAATGGCCTTAGAGCAAAAATCTTAAGTCTAGCAATATTAAACAAATGGTATTTTTTTAAGCATTGACTTTTTTAAAGTTTATTTTGAGTGGGGGGGGCGGAGCAGGGGAGGGGCAGAGAGAGAGGGAGACAATCCCACAAACTGTTAGCTTATGACCTAAGCTGAAGTCAAGACTTGCATATTTAAGTGACTGAGTCACCCAGGCACCCCTTAAGCATTTACTTTTGAGTCAAGAGTTCAAAATCATGTTTCCTTCCCTGGAAGTGTATGGTCTGCCTAAGTCTAGAGACAGCCTCCCTAAGAATGCGTCGTGGCACAAAAATTTTTCATTAACGCGTAAGTCAGAGAAATACAAACAGAAACTTACTTTCTAATACAAACTAATCATCCTGATTATCTGGAAAAAATCAAGAACAGGAAAAGTCTTTACTCACACCCTCTGCAAGAAGACGTGACGTGACCCAACCTCTTACCAGCCATTTAGGCGTAGAGATTTTGCATAGTAGTGCCTCGTCCTTAGCTAACTTGTACTTGTTAAAGTAAGTTACTCTTTTTTCCCAAATATTAAAGTAAATGCAGGATGCCAGTATTGACACGTTGGTCTTTTTCAGTGTCTCTCGCTACTATAGTTATAGAACAGGTGACAGAAATGAAGCCAATAAAATAGAGCAAGTGAAGTTTTGAGGATGACCGGCCATCGAACTTATAGGTACGTCTTAACAGAATAGATTTGTTTGCACACCATGAATATTTTTTCAGTTCTAGAACATGCAGTGCTTATTAATGAATCCCAATCTACTAAGGTTTAGAGATATAAAGCTTTTCCCCCTTTGCCTTCTGAATGAAAGCCTGCTGAATTTAATTCATATTGATCTCAGCTTCACAGTTAGAATGTAGGAAATATGATGAAAAATTCTAACGGTACATTTTTATTTCTCATTGCTACCTGCAGGTTATTTGACAATGTAACACCCACCATCGTCAGATTTTTCCCTTGACTCTGGAAGATCAGACTGTATTTTCCCCTTTGTAAAGAAGTGATGCCCTTCATGGAGCACCACCAAGGAAGTGAGACACAAAATAACTACACTTTCAAATGTGGTTTATTGAAAAAAAAATGTAGATGTGTATGAAGGGGTGCTAAGGTTCACTTTTCTATTTTTCTTTCTTGTTTCGGTAGTTTTATCCTGCCCTGAATCCATGAGCACGAAGCCTGTGTAGATTCCACACCAATAAAAAGCTATGGCCAAAAGACTCTTGTCCTTTGCTTAACTTGACTGCCTCAACAGAACAAAAGGAGAATAAAATATATCAGCTTTGTCAAAGCATCTCTAACAATTTACCTCTGTATCTATTTAGATATTATCTACTCACCTAGGATCTAGCTATCCATCTAGATGTTTATATCTCTCTGTATATGATATAACTATAAAATAAGGAGTATGTAAAATATAAAATGTATTGCTCTAAGAAGCATACAAGACAAAAGTAAACCCACAATATAGTGAAATGTAATTTACATCAAATACGTTCTGTATTTATTGGACTTGCGGTAATCACCTTAGTCAACACATATTTCTTTGTTACACAAAAACGACAAACAACCAAGGAAGAATGTGGTCTTGAGACCATACAAGCAAACTATTCATCATAATTGATAAAGCATTTAAGTCCTTACCTTGCTGGAAATTAAGATCAGTGAGATAGATCCTAGAGTGTTCTAATCAGTTACTGACTGTTATATTGTAAGTCAACACTGTCCGTTGGCAAGTCTTCAGCAGCGTTTTGAGAAATTTAAATGCATTCTGGCATTGTTTTGTTGGATGCATATGAAATTATTTCTGATATTGTGTATCAGTCTAAATGTCAGCTCTTCCTTTGGAGAAAAATTCCCCACACACTACCATGCAAACAACAATCTTTCATTTGTTGGATTTATAGACCAAACTCTTGTCAAAACCCAAAGGTATCACGACATTGGCTCCAACCTTTTTCCAACTTATTTGTAGTAACATCTCACTTTCTTTTTGCTTAGAAATGTGGCCATTTGTATTTTTGCATGAAAAATACAAAAATACATGTATTTTTTATTTTACAAAATAAAGTTATTATTTTACAAAAATATTTTTATTGTTTTATTAAACATCAATATTGTTAAAAACAAGACAGTAGACTCAATATGGAGTCACTTAGGCTAAACCTCATGATGCCTACCCAAGGCTTAACACATAATTAGAGTTTCTGCTCTCCCAGAAACAGACTCTTAAACCAGTCAATGGGGAACTATGTGGTCAATGCTAGTGAGGGATTCTACCTTATAGACCTCTGTGGTCCCCTTAAGGAGATGACTTTGCTATACCCAGTTCATTCTTGTCTAGTATAATTTCCTTGTCCCGCTCTGTCTGCCTATAAAAGTCTTTCATTACATATAGCTCCTCAGACCTCCTTCCTATCTGCTATATGGCATGCTTTTCATTCATGAATAACTGAATAAAGCCAACACGATTTGTAAAATTTACTCGGTTGAATTTTGTTTTTTAACAATAATTACACCTATCTGTTTAGGTTTAAATAAAAATAACCTTACACTAAAAGCATATTTTCTAATTATTTTTAATCATAGGAGCAAGCAAGATTAATCTCCCAAGATCACGACTTAGCATTTGAGCAGAAGCAAAAAAGCAAGATGTGGTCTCCTCTTTGTGATCCACAAGACATTCAAGAGTCTCCTTGACCCTCTACTCCTTATCCTGTTAAAGGTTTTCTCATACAAAGAAATAACACAAAAAGATAATAACTCTCCATAAGAGGGTTCATTTAAAATATAAAATGCAAGTACCATCAACAAATGACTAAAATTGTTCTGACACCTTTTCCTTGCAGAATGAATCTTTCATCATTAATTCCCACTGACCAAATTCCATTAGTCTAGGTTTGAAATGCTGGCAAGCAGATATTGCTTTAAAAATACACCATTTCAGGGGCGCCTGGGTGGCGCAGTCGGTTAAGCGTCCGACTTCAGCCAGGTCACGATCTCGCGGTCCGTGGGTTCGAGCCCCGCGTCGGGCTCTGGGCTGATGGCTCAGAGCCTGGAGCCTGTTTCCGATTCTGTGTCTCCCTCTCTCTCTGCCCCTCCCCCGTTCATGCTCTGTCTCTCTCTGTCCCAAAAATAAATAAACGTTGAAAAAAAAAATTAAAAAAAAAAAATACACCATTTCAGTTTCCGCATCGCCAAAACATTTTGCTGTTGTTGTTGAAAGACTTCGTGTTATCGATATGAGCAAAAGTTAAAGTATGAATGGAAAAACAGTCTGAATGTCCAACTATGCTGAAGGTCATACCGGTCATTTCTTCACCAGGGATTTACTGGGTGCCTATTACGTTCAAACCCATTGTGCTCAAAAACTCTTTGTTGGATGAGTTGTTTTTTAGCTGTGTTTTGTTAGCCTTATTTTTCTAAGTTCCCACTTCCTTCAGTCTTGGTGAGCTGTAAGTCAATTGCTTATAGCTGAATATTTTATCTGAAGGATAAGACTATTCATTTTAAGACAACAGGGAAAGAATAGGAAAAAAAAAAAAAAAGAATGCCAAATCTGAGGTTTGTGCTGCAGTCGATCAAATACCTGCTGTCTATGAATCTGATTCATCTGGTGAACCATTCCCATTTTAGTTAATTAACCATTAATCATTAGGTAAAGTACAGAAGCAAAGTATTCACACTCATCTCCCGCCTTGCGCCCTCCAGAATTATTTCTGTGCCAAGGCTCTGGCTACACTTGAAGACTTTTGAGAATCGGTTTGTGTAGTGTTTTATTACAGAGCCTGAAATCAGCCCCCTGAACTGATATTCAATCCTATTAAAAAAGGATGCTAAGGAAAAAATCCTTTATAAAACAGCATGAAACAGACCCTAGGATCAGCTACTTTAAGCTTCTGATAATGTTTTGTATAATGTTCCAGTCAAGTTCCAGTTTTTATGTATAATGTTCTAGTCAGGTGCCAAATACAGTCCTCAGCCCTCAGCGACTTTTTGGAATAATTTCTACCATGAGACTGTGCAATGATAGCTTTAGAAACGCCACTATAAATCTCAGCGCCCCCCACTGTGGCCAGTGACAGCTGATAAATGAAAAATGGAGGAAACGGAAGCAAGGCAATTTGCATGCCTCCTGGCCCACCTGTAGGAAGCTAATGGAGGTGCCGCTTGATTATTTTCAAGTTACTTGCCTTGCAAACTGTAGATTTCTCCAACACTGTTCTGACGGGTGATGTGATGCCAGTAGGCGCTACGAGGAAGAGATATCGATTTGGATAACGTCATTGGCTCAGTCAAGCTTGTCTGAAGCTAAAAGAAAAAGGAAATGTGTCAGGCTTGATGCAAAATATTAGACTGAAATCTGCCCTTTCAGAAGCTGAGGGTTAAATGTGGGCATTATGTGACCAAATCTGTTATAGATACCTGTCTGATTTGCTGTTTAAGGTTAGCTTTTTTTTAAAAAAGGTAAATGAATGACTCCAAACATATATGAAGTGAACACTTATAGACAATTGGATCTCATTCATTGATTTAGAAGGAACAAATAGATGGTACAACCGATTCCAGGGAGAATTCAAAGGGCATACAGTTAACCAGGAGCGCAGGTAAACAGCCAGAAATAACCAGGTGTACCCACCACCAGACAAGTTTGTGTGCATTTATTGAACAAGAATTATGTGCATTACTATCAGCTTTCTGCAATTTACTGAACTATAAAATAGCTCAGCTTGGGGGCGGGGGCAAGCCCTTTCACAAACACATACTCCCAAATGGCACCAAATACAGGATACCATTAATCCTTCTCACCCATTTCCGTTTACAATTTTTCCAGACACCTCCTCCCACCCTTGCCCAAGGGATCTTTTCTCCAATGGACGTTTTTCTGCGCTCCTGCGATAGGATCTTTTACATATTAAAAACGTGTTTTCCCTGAGAAGTTTTGTGACAAAAATGTGGCAATTATGTTCTCACTTGAAACATAAATTTTAAGGGTAGCCCCAGAGATCAACACAACGTCACTCAGGTGCTCAAGCAAAGGATTCGTTCCAAGAGACTGAAACTTTACATTGCATTTTCAAGAAATAAATTCACTTTGATTGATTCACTCTAGGTTTTTAAAAACCTCCAGAAATGGTTTTATTTGTTCTTAGTGCACATTTCCCTGACACAATCTGAGCAAATGTTCACTTTCTGATGGGCAACGGGAAATCCTCTAATCAATAAAACCTCACATTTCCTCCTGATTGAATATCTGACTCTTGGCAGAAGGGGGAGCTGCGAAGATCACATCTGTCGGGTGTGAGCTTAGAGACCTGTTTGCTCCGTGTGGGTGGCCTTTCCACCGCCCCGCCCCGCCTCTGGCCCTTCCCATACTTTGTATCCAGGTTCCCACCCTCCACTGAAGACCTGATCAGGAAAGGACCTGATAGGCTGTAACAGGCTCTTTAAAGCCATATAAAGCTGAGAGGTTTCTCCATTTTAATGGAAGATGAAGCCAAAGGGTGTGAATGTTTTGATGTGATTCCACATTTTCAGCAGTGAGGCATTTCTACAACCTCTATGACTTGCCACCAAAGCGCCCTACTCAGTGAACTTGAAAGTCTGGCCCTGTTGAAGGTTATTTTTTTTTACAGATGGCTTTCAGTAGCAACATTGTAACCAATTTATAGATTTTTCAAATTGTGGGATAGTTCGAAATTTTCCTTCCTATGGTGAAAACAGATATGCTAACCACACCAACAGCCTATGGTTGGTAGGTGGAGGGAGTGGGGGAGAAGCCAGGTTTCTGGGTTATAATAGGGTGGTGCTTTCTAGAACCTTTGGGGTGTTTGTTAACCACACACACTTCTGGATTTTCCCCAGACCTAACATTTGGAGAATCTCTGTGTGTGGGGCTATGCCCGTTAACACGTATCAGGATACACACTAAATATCCACTCCTGTAAGGAACAGAGGCAAAGCTCATTTTACGAAATTAGCACTGGGACAAAAGGGCTTTCACCTTTAAAGCCAATTTCTCATGTGAGGTGTAAACTGAATTCCAACACATAACGTCTTTAGTTAGTGTGAGCAATGCCCATTAATAAACATCAATTAATCCATAAAGCCTATCTCATATTAATCACACTTCTGTCTACACTTTATTGTTCTAATATATTGTGATTTGTTTATTAGTATACAATACACCATCCGTGGTCAATTCACCTTCCCCAAATTACTTTTCCTTCTATTTTTTAATTCTGGGAAACATAGTTCTTCCTAAATGGTCAGTCTTAAGCACCATGGAAACACAGTAAACATATTTTTCTCCTGGAAACAAATAAGTTGAGAATTTCCTCCATAAAATTCTCATCTGAATCACCAATTGTTTCTTCACCTCATTTCTCTACTTCTTGGTCTTCAAGGTTTTCAAATCACAAGTAACCTTTAACCTTCTAGTTCTTCACTTGTTTCTTTAGTTTCTTTTTATTCTACTTCAATATCTAATTCAGAAAAGTGAAAAATCTGTGTTTGAAAACCTGAATGTCTACGTTCTCCCGATCTCTGCCAAAGGTACCTATCTTGTCCATCATACCTCAGATTTTTAATCTTCTACACATCAGAGAATCCATTCCTCAGTTGTTCTTCAAAACCAGGTATTGAGTACGCTCATGAACTATCAAGCCATTCTGGGCAATGTCTTTCAATGGAATCGTGTCACAGGTGGTATTCCATGTGCATTATTTGTGTGGAGGATTGAAGATGGCTGCATTCAGATACAGGGTGATGGGCTCCCTCCTCTTAAATCTCGGCTGACCAGTGACTGATTTGATGAATAAGGCAACGTAGACATGACATTATGTCTGTTTTGGCTATGCCTTAGATGGCCTCTACCTGTCCTCTTCTCTCCACCTGTCCTGAGTTACTCTGGAAGTCTGACTACTCTGAACTGCCACGTTTGGACAAAGCCCAAGCTTACCATGGGGGCGGGCCACGTAATTCAACGTTTGAACCCTTCTTAGAGGATCCAGCCGTTCTCGTCTTACAGATGGAAAAATCACAACCCCCAAAACTCAGGGAACTGCTCACGGTAAAATCCCAACTATAGAACCTCTAATAGGAAACAGTTCTCTTGATTTCTTAGTCCACTGCTTTTTGGACTTTGATGTTGATCTCTGGGGGAAAATGAGCTTCCTCTCCAACATGTTACGATATATAAGAATACAGCTCTATACTTTCAAAGCACCCACCCTGCCAAAAAGAAGCAGGTGGGTCCTGGAAACTTTGGGATTCCGGTACTGGCCACAGCACCTTTTCCTGCTTTTGCCAAAATAATTATCCAGGTTACCTGATTGCCTTTTGCGATCTCCCTTTGCTATTTTGAGATTCTGCCTCCCCCTGTGATAAACATTAATGCTAATTTGTGTCCCCTGACATAAATTCATCTCTCTGTTAAAAAAAACCTGCTAACCAACTTTACTTTTGGTCTGTATCTGCCCAATAATTGACTAGAAAATTTAAGGCCTTATTAGCACTCGAGGTATAAATCTCAACAATTGTGGGAGGAAAAAGGTAGCATTTATAGGTTAACATTTACGAGTCATTCCCTATGTGCCTGGCAACGTGCAAACTGATTTCAGATGTTGTTTAATATCCACATAAATTGTCAATAATCACGCCATCTGAACTTTACAGTCAAGGAAAATGAGACTCAGAGGGATAATATAATTTTTTCATGGTGACATAGGCAGTGAATGATGTCTCTGAGACTTCAAAGACCATGATGTTGAAGAGAAGAAAAGATGCCTTCCCTACCTTTCGAGGTCTTCTAGCTGGACTAAGAGTTAAATTTACCTGAGACAGATTTGCAGATAAAAAACCCCAAAGTTTTATTACGTGTGCACAGAGGCCCAAGAGTGAAACTGAGACACAACGAAATGATCAAGGCAGGTAGATTTTATACTTTTTAGACAAAGACACAGTAAATCTGTGAGGAACTGACGGGACAAAGAGACGTTAACTTAGGAAGCTTCAATCAGTAAGGACTTCTGGGGGTGCCTGGGTGGCTCAGCCAGTTAAGCATAAGACTCTCGGTTTCAGCTCAGGTCATGATGTCACAGTTTGTGAGTTCAAGCCCCGCATCGGGCTCTGCACTGATAGTGTGGATCCTGCTTGAGATTTCTCTTTCCTTCTCTCTCTGACCCTCCCGGCTTGCTCTCTCTCTGTCTCTCTCAATAAATAAATAAATACAAATTAAAAAAAATAAGGAATTCGAAACCAAATTTGGGCTAAGGCAGTAAATGAGTAAAAAGTAATAAGGGGGTGTTTATGCGGCCTTCTCAGCTCCCAATTTCCCATCTCTGGTGACAAGAAGGTGCCATTCTTTCCTGGAGCAGGGAGGGCGCCTTTCACACGGGAGATTTACTTCCTGCTTTCAGTGGGACAAAGGAGGGTCTGAGTGTCCTTCTTGCACAGGCTGATTTTAAGTAGCTTTAATTCAAAATCGTCAATATGCCAGAGTGGCACCTTTTGGGGCAGCCTGCCCCTGGCCCCTAAATCTTGGCAGACACAAATCACTGTGGAATAAATGACGGGATCCTTTCTCCTCAGGGAGCAGATGTGAGGAGAATTGCACCCACCAGGTCAACCGCATGGCCCAGAGGCAGAGACGAGTGTGCCTCTGTCTAACGTTGAGGAGAGGGCGTTACAAGCAGAGCCGCTCAATCCGGAGTTGTTAGGCACACATGCTTGGCTGTCAGCACACCTGTTCTCACCCACGGACTCCATCTCTGCCTTGTCATTTGACCTCAGGCGACACGCTTAAAACATTTTTTTTTTTAAGATTCAAGTTTTCCTTCTCTGCCAACTGAACTTAATATAATCTACCTCAAGTGTCGCTGTTAATATTTCATAATGTGATGCTTTTATTTTTTTTAATTTTTTTTTTCAACATTTATTTATTTTTGGGACAGAGAGAGACAGAGCATGAACGGGGGAGGGGCAGAGAGAGAGGGAGACACAGAATCGGAAACAGGCTCCAGGCTCTGAGCCATCAGCCCAGAGCCTGACGCGGGGCTCGAACTCACGGACCGCGAGATCGTGACCTGGCTGAAGTCGGACGCTCAACCGACTGCGCCACCCAGGCGCCCCTTAATGTGATGCTTTTAGAGGGAAGAACACAACGTCTGCCCCATCTGAAGGGCTTGGTAGAAACTCCTGGCTCACTCTTGCCTCTACTACATGGGAGAGGTGGCTTACAACAGACGCGTCTATGCGATACGTGATCAAGACGTGGAAAGATGTCCAAAATGAGCTATCAAACGAGTAAC